AGCGACTTAGCGACCCCTACTTATTATAGGTGGGAGAGTCTATTAACTATAGAATAGGTGTGTTCCACTATAACACTGAGGTAGACCAGTTGCCATCCAAAATCATAGAACCCGGTCTGTTCTGCTATTTATCCATACCTGGGGGGAGGCGGAAAGAAGAGGATTCATACATTTCTCAAGGGTATTAGCTCGTAAGCGAATGTAATGAATTCGACTGGAATTCGAAATCGGCTCTCCGATTCCTCAATCCCAGCCGTTATCCATTATTCCGTGCGGACAAAAAAGGGCAACATATGGTCCGGTTCTCCTGCTATATATTTAGAGATTCTTGATAAAATCCAAAGAAGAATCAGCAATATTATTGGTCCTGATCTGGCGCCTCGGGATCAGTCATTTTACAAATGCCGTAAAGCTGCCGTTTTATGGTAACTCTTCGGGTGAACTCTTCGCTATGGTCCCTTGACTTTATGAATTTAAGCGCAGCACTAGATTTCTATGTTTCAACATCTTACAGTTGAATTGGCAAGAGATGCAACCGTAAGTTCTATGCTAATAGTTTATTTTCTCGTACTTCTCACTTGTGGAACTCTTCTCGGACTCCAGTTAATTGTGATTTTTAAAAACTAAATGCAATGTCAATCGTTATCTACTGTCTTCTTGATTACTCTTCTATAGATCTCGCTCCTTAATAAGATTTCTGATTTCTATTCTTTCACACTCAGTAACCCTTCGTGTCGTAGTAGCTTTTCTGCCTTGCATGGGGTGAAATGATTCGAAAACCAATTTAAATTCCATGTCCATTGTTATCTACTGTTCTCGCTCCTTTCTTGTTTCTATTCTTCAACACTCAGTAACCCCCCACCCCCGTGTCTTAGTGGTTTTACTCCCCCGCTTGAAATAAGTAGATTAAAAAAGAAAGTATCCCTAGAAATGGGTGGTAGAACACACCCGTAGATTAACTTAAGGATTCAGTTTAAAATTCACTGTGGATTGCCCGGATCGACATACCCCTGATGAAGTCCAGAGCGTTCAACGTCCGAAACGTTATGATAACAACAATAACAATGAGTACAATAATCTTCCCTTTCAAAAACAGATTCTAAAACTAGAATGAAGAAATGATATCAATATTTAATCGTATAAAGATTTACAATTTGGCAATATGACAATTTCTATTTTTCACACAAACGAAACTACGACACCTGACAGATATTATATATACCAATGTAAGAGCTGTAAACGAAACTTATCTCATTTGTAAGTCAAGTGAGTTTTAATATAATCAAATTGTTTTTAAAATTCACCTTCTGGTTGATAAATAAGATCTGGTTTAACAGCCTCGTCTCAGAATTAAAGCCTGCCAAAAGAGAAATAAAATAATTTATCAAAACAGCTGGCTGCATATTAAAAGTCGATCGATATGGCGAATAATCGATAATCAAGCCTGAGTTAAAAATAAGATTGATCTTTTTATAGTATCGCCTGTTGCGCAATTGGCGTTGTTTGTTGCCCGTCGTTGAGTCGTTCATTTTTTTTTTTTTTTTAAAGATTGTGTCTACATCAAAGACTGGAATCACAATGAAAATCATCTTTGTCAAATCTGTCGACATCTTTCATCGTCAATAGAAATATTTTCAGCTCGAAACAAGAAACAGACATTCATTCACACATTTTGATTGTTGAATGTCCTTTCAGTTTTTGTGTGCGTTCATTTTGTGTGCCTAGTGACAGGGGTTCGATACTTGATATCGTTTCAAAACTGAAGGGAAAACGAATTTTATACTGTTTAGCACTCATTCATCATCATTATTTATGTGTCATATCTCTTCAAGACGTGGACGATCATGGCTCTTCACAACTTCCTCTCCCTTGTACCTTCAAGCAATTTTTTACTCTTCATCATTCATTGCTTTGTCATCTGTTCACAGGATTCATTAAGTAGTCTATTCTTTATGTCACTTTTCTCCTTTTGCTTTCTTCATGCCCTGTGAGTGTCAAATTCTCCAAACTCTCTTTCCTTATTATGTGTCCTATAAATGTCAACTAACTTTATTCTGTTTCTATTAGAAAGTTGTATTTCCCATTTTCTGAAGTTTTTTCCTTGCTCACATGTTCAGATCATGGAACACTCAACCTCCGTCTATCGCTATTTCTATGGCTGTGAATTTAAGGAAATTGTCATCGCGCGATCCCGTGACACATCAGGGTCGTAGGGGCACTACCAAGATAACCTGACGGAACCCAACCCTCTCCAGGTTTTTGAATTCGGAGTTACCTTCTCCTAGATCAATTGCCACCCAAGGGTACTGAACCTAGTCTGTCCTGCAATTTTTCCCATAGCTGGGTGGGGGGAGTAGAAGAGGATTTTTTTCCAAGAGTATTAGCACATAAGTGAATGTAATGGATCTGACTGGAATTCGAACTCGACTCTCCGACTTTTCAATCCGAGCTGCCATCCATTACTCCACCGTGCTTTGAATACTGTCATGTAATAGGTTAAATATATATGTTCAACATTATTTTCTTGGCTTGTAAGGATATTTTTCCTGTCTTTGTACAAATTAATTGAAACAACTGCTTTGGTTTTCTTTCTTTCACCTTACGGTCAGAATTAAACCCACTGGAATGACTGGATGTAATAGATTTCTATTTTTCTACAGATTAGGTCATTTGCAGTGGTGTTCAGTAATATGAATCTATTTTCGAGGTGTGTGATGAAATTTGTTTGGCCTTGAAAAATATTGCGTCATCCGTGATTGCATCAAATTTTTATCACCTCCAGACACTATTGTCTCGACTGTCGATTAGTTGTCCTATGACTATTGTCTGCACTGGACGTTACTCCAATGAAGCGTACAAAAATTGTAATACTGCAAGAACACACTGGCAAGCCTTACTAGTGAGCAAATCAAACTACTATAAAGTGACCCGTAAACTCTATTGATTTAAATCCAATCAAGAATCGAACTACTAACATGTCCTCAAGGTCATGTTTTATTGGAAAAAATACGAAAAAAAATGTAAATAATGACGGAATTATTCGTTTTGTTTCAATTAATTTGTACAAGTGTGTATGCACCGATCCAAGCCATGATGGTAATTAATGACATCCAAACAAATAGAAAGATATTATCTAGATGAGGCCACCGTTGTTACTTGCTTTAGTTCAAGAACACCACAGAGGTGACTGTTTAAAATGTGGGAGGTATTACTGCCGCACCCTATATATTTCGTCATCCCAACAAGCCTTTGAATTTCTGTTTTGCCTTCGTCTGATAAAAGACTTCCCAAATATGTAAATTTCTGTACTTTGTAAATTTTGACGTCTCTTAATTCGTAGTTCACCAGATCGGCTATCTCTCTTACCGACAAACATACCTTGTGTCAGAGGAGGGACTCATGCCTTTTTACAATGACACTAATGAACATGACACAAATACTACTGATTTTGAATTCGGCTCGATGATCCAAGGCTCTTAAGCTCAACAATTCCCCCCCGACATCACTAAGATGTCTAGTTATGGTCCTCCAGACGCTATCTTCCTTATAGTAACAATGACATATTTACCAAGATTATCATACATAGACGCGTGGCCATAAGCTACAAACTTTCGATCAGCAAAGAACAGATCCCGATTTTTTTCTATTTATGGTGAGCGGTTGTATACTCAAAAATGCTATCTTCGTACGTTTATTGGGACTTAATTTATTGCAGACATCAAGTTGAAATCATTTATACGAACAGACATATATATATATATGTTATATCTCTCCCTATCTCCCTACACATATATATATATATATATATATATATATATATATATATATATATATTGTCATCCACAGACAGACTGTTTCGCTCATCAGTATGGCTAGGCGTCCGGTTGCTTCTAGTTAGGATCGAAACCCGACTGATTCTACCACTAAGCCGTTGGCGTAGGACAGGGATGAAGGTGAATTTAAGCGTATTTGTTTTTAGATAAACACACTGTGACTGACAGAACTCAATTCGATTTACCGAAGAGACTTGCATTATTAGCCGTAATAGTCAATCTGTACAAACCCACACTTCCTCCCCAGAGGGTTCAACCGAAATAAATTTTTCAGGAGCATATATATTGTCATCCACAGACAGATTGTTTCGCTGTATTACAGCTCATCAGAGTGGATAGACGACCGGTTGACTCTAGCTAGGTTCGAAACCAGACTGAATTGGCGTCAGTTGGGGATTCTATCACTAAGCCGTTGGATGAAGGTAAATATACGCGTGTTTATTTTTAGATAAACACACAGTGACTGAGAGAACTCAATTCGATTTACCGAAGAGTCTTACATATATATATATATATATATAAATATAAATATATATATATATATATATATATATATATATATATTTATGTAAGTCTGTCCGTATCTATGTGTACGTCTGTTCTTATCTATCTATCTATCTATCTATCTATCTATCTATCTATCTATCTATCTATCTATCTATATATATATATATATATATATATATATATGTGTGTGTGTCTGTTCCTATCTATCTGTCTGTTATCTATCTATCTATCTGTTTATCTATCTATGTCAGTTCATCATCTCTATCTATCTGTGAACATCCATCCAAAGCGTTCGGTTAGTTTTTCACACACTAGAGTGTCACTGCACAATGTGTTTTGGTTTATGTCTGCGTCGGAACTAGCAAAGATCTGGCGTAAGTTCACAATGGAGCCGAAATATTGCCACAACGAGAAAATATAACTTGTATGCTCTTAAAGAGATATAGTGGGATGTTTTAATTCATGGATTTTACTAGCACTGGCTACAAAAGCGTAAAGGCAAGAAAAGAAAAGAAAAAGAAGGAGAACGGAAACAAAAGAAAGAACAAAGAAATAATATAAAACAGAATGAAGATAAACGCGTAAAGGGAAAAAAAAGACAAGAAAAGAATGAGAATGGAAAGCAAAAGAAAGAAAAACAAGAAACCTCATAAAACAGAA